TGCATCTATTTCGTAACCAGTTTCTCCCTTAATAGCTATTGTATATATTCTTAAATGGCACACAACTACGAAAGCAGAAACTACATTTATAAGGCATAGAGAACAAGAGAATCCCCCTGTTTTATGTTTTTGCATATGACATGACCAGGGAACCGCCGTGTATGAGGAGAGAGGAGGAAAGGGACTCAGGCAGGAATAAGGAGGTGTGTTACTGATGCATTAGCTCTTCTTTACAGTAACTTGGTACACACCAGGCGTTTGTGACAAATACAGTGACAAATACAGTGGCTGAAAAGTGTTAATGACAGAAGCTACCACTTCTCAGATTTGTTAACTACAGTTTTTAGTAGCTGCGGGAATTGCTAAACAAATTACTAATGGAACAAGTTCATTGGCCTTTGTGGTCTCTTTGACTCTATATCTACAGAAAGGCTCATTTGATTTGGGGTGCTGCTGAGGACCTAAATTTCCGTTGTTTAGTCAGAGCTTAGGTTATCAAATACTTGGAAATGTTCTGGCTTGAAATGTGCAATAAAAAGATCTTTGGACTTTTAGAGGAAACCAGAGGAGTCCATATGTATCAGAAAGCTTACTTTTTAAAAAAACACTTTGAGATTATGCTGAGTGAAATAAGTCAAGCAGAGAGAGTCAATTATCATATGGTTTCCCTTATTTGTGGAGCATAACAAATAGCATGGAGGACATGGGGAGTTAGGAGAAGGGAGTTGGGGGAAATTGGAAGGGGAGGTGAACAATGAGAGACTATGGACTCTGAAAAACAATCTGAAGGGTTTGAAGAGGTGGGGGGGTGGGAGGTTGGGGGATCCAGGTGGTGGGTATTAGAGAGGGCACAGATTGCATGGAGCACTGGGTGTGGTACAAAAACAATGAATACTGTTATGCTGAAAATAAATTAAAAAAATGATTTAAAAATTTTTTTAAAAATTAAAAAAAACACTTTGAGGATTTGGGGTCATTTCTTGGTAAAGTGCCTGATAACCCCTTAATTTATCTACAATATTTGATCAGTTTTCATAGGTTTAAGTTTAAAAATTTCTGTTCTCATACTATGATGTCTTTCCTTCCTGTCTCTTCCATTGTCTCAGACTTTAGATAAATTTAAAAGTAAGAACAGAAATTTAATATCCATGCTTAAGTTAAAAGATTTTGAAACCCCTACCACAATGATCATTTCAGCTTTATTTCTTGGGAAAATGAAAAATTTTATGGAAAAAAAAGTAATTTTTAAAATTCCCTTAGTTTTGTACAGATTTAGATATCTGAAACTAGTGTAGAATATTTTTTCATATTTTAATAGCTATAATAATATTATTCATATAAATTTAAAAACACATTTAGTGTGCTTCAGCTCCTGGAAATACCTATCTATTTTGATCAACTAAATATACAATATCTTATATAAAAAATTCTGTTTGATAATTGACATGATTACTTTATGACTGACACTTGATGATGTTCAAAAATTTATTAATGTCATAAAACTCAGCTACTTTAGAATAGTTCTGAATTTTAAAATGAAAATGTGCTATTTTAGCCTATACTTTATCCTAATTTAGGGAGTGGCTGCATATCTCTAAACTTAATTTTCTGATTCTGAGACCAAATACCTGCTTAGAATGTGACATGTGCTAAAACACTAGCCAGAGGCCAGTTAACTCCAGATCTCAAGAACATGCAGCTGTTTCAAATCATCCAAAACTTAATTGACATTTTCCTAAAATGTTTGTTAGGTGAGTATGCCTATTACTGTGAATACATTGTTTAGCTATCTCAGTCATGGGGAAATTGGAAAAAACACAACCTGTGTTAAACCTAGTAATTATTCTGTCTCCTTGTGTTTATCACTGCAGTCTGCCTATGTAACAGGTAATCCTGTCATCATTGATGGAGGCTGGAGCTTGTGATTTTGATCTCCTTGCTGGGAAGGAAGGCAGGCCCTTCCTGTCCACAGTGAACCTGGTTATGAAGAAAATTCACCAATCATATCTTTCCTATTAATGGCATATTAATGAAGACAACCCCTTTTTAATGATGTCATTGTTCACGAGAGTCAGATTCTTTAAATATGTTAATCTCTTTCTAACCTCTTCTGAAATCATTGTAGGGAGATGACATAAAGGATAATGAACTCACTGCAAATGGATAGTTTTAAAGTAAGCCACAATTTGCAAGCATATAAAATGAAAATGTGAATATGAAAAATGGAAGGTTTTTAAGAAAAAGGTATTAATTTGTATTTTACTTTTATTTCAAATTATTCAGCTATTTTGTACAATTCTGCATTGGTCTGTACATGGATACTAATTTTAAAATTTTCACCATTATAAATGAATACAAGGTAGGAAGGAATTTAGCTTCAGTAACTTACATTAAAAAGAGTTTAGATTCGGAACTATACTATTGATCTGTTATATAAAAGAAAATAATCATCAAGTGTTTATGCTTAATGGATGTTATCACTCAAAATTTAGTACTGTTTTCTTAGCTTAAGTAAAAAAATCTTTCTTAAAATAAGCAATGATAATTAGTATGAGCCTAAGAAACTTATAATGAACTAGCAATATTATCAATTTGAGTGATATTTTTTAGGGTAAGTGTAGATTTTTTTCACCAAATTCCAAGTTAATAGTAAGAGGACATGAAATTTAGAAACAGTCTCTTGATAAATAAATGTAAGTGATTCATATAACAGGAAACAAAATTAAAGAAAATAAAATTTTCAAGGGATAGGTGAAATAGATAAAGAGCATTAAGGAATACAAACTTCCAGTTTTAAATAAGTCACAGAGATGAAAAGTACAACATAGGGAATATAGTTGATAGTATTGTAATAACATTGTATGGTGACTATACTTACTGTGGTAAGCATTGAATAATGTATAGAACTATTAATGCAATAGTTGTACACCTGAACTTAATACAGCATTGTACATTAATTATAATTCAATTAAAATATGGTTACAAAGTTTTTGGGATTGTTTTTTTTCCAAGAAAAAGCTTAAGCGGGGCACCTGGATGGCTGTTAGGCATCTGCCTTCAGCTTTAGTCATGATCCCGGGGTCCTGGGATGGAGCCCCAAATTGGGCTCCCTGCTCAGTAGCAAGCCTGCTTCTCCTTCTCCCTATGCTGCTCCCTTTGCTTACGCTCGCTCTCTCTCTCTGTGTCAAATAAATAAAATCTTTAAAAAAGAAAAGAATAGAAAAGAAAAAGCTTAAGCAAATTCATGGATGATAATTCGATAAGACATTATTGGGAAGAAATTTTTTCTTGTTCTTTTAGTTTTAGCATTTTATGTTTGTTTTTTATTTGTTGCTACTTCAAAAGACTAAATGGTATTATGCACATATAGATACCCAATAAATGAGCACTTAGTCTTTCTTTTTAAAACCTTAATTAATAATATTATCATAATCAAAATGCTGTAACTTCTCATCAGGTGAAGTGATGGAAGACTGAAGCTTGTAAGTATGTTATGAGGTACTTTCTGCTGTGAGCCAGTATACATGTGTATGTATAGCTATGACAAATGAATTCTAAATAAACACACAATGAATTCTGCAAAATGAATTCTAACATTTAAAAAAGGCTTTCTCAGAGTTCTCTCAGCTAACTATAAAAAATAAAACATTATAAATAAGAGCAGAGGTAAAATATCACCAAAAAGTTCAATGTTCTCCAAAGTCATATTAATCAAATGGGGTGATGTGTCAATGAAGATCATATGACTGAAAGAAAAGGAAAAATATATTTCATTCCCGTGGTAAGAGGAAGCTGGATACCTCCAGAAATTTCTGCAAGCTTTAGGAGAGGAAGAGCAAGCAGTTTAGGAAAATACAGTAATCACCTTAGATGCCCTGAACATTATTAGATGGATGTGGGTTCATCCACATTACTCACAAAGGAGGACCTGAGAGACAAGAATGAGTGGTTTCTATCTGGTGGAGACATCGCCTTGATGTTGTCCTTCTTGCTTGAAAAGTGATGATTAAAACTGACCCAACGAGTGAAAAACAGGTAAGACAATTTTTATTCCTGAAGGAAATGAAAATTACCCTGAAAGAGGCACGTGCATATACACACACTCACTTGAAAAGCGGAAATATAAAGGAAAGGAAGACAGAAATGGAAGGGATTTTTTTTTTAAAAAGATTTAATTTCTTTATTTGAGAGAGAAAGAATGAGAGAGGCAGCATGAGAGGGGAGAGATCAGAGGAGAAGCAGACTCCCTGCTGGGCAGGGAGCCCAATGCTGGGCTGGATCCCAGGACTCCAGGATCACGACTTGAGCCGAAGGCTGGCGCTTAACCAACTAAGCCACCCAGGTGCCCCTGGAAGGAATTTTAAAGGAAAAAAGAAACTGCTGATGGGAAAGTTAAAATCTGAAATGATACAGTAAGACGGGCTGGTGTTAAAGAAGCAACAAAGAAGCGCGGGGAGGGGGACGGAGTCCTTCATCCCACCTAATTGGGTCACCCAAAGACTCCTGTCTTCCCACCGCATCTGAGAAGACACTTCTAAAAAGCACATCTGAAAGGTGGAGCTAAAACCCAAAATGTAGAAGTCGGTTTAGGGAACATTAAACCTCGTAAGTGGCTGTCCGGCCTGCACCCCTGGCTCTGGAAGAGCCAGCGCTGCGCGCACTCGCCAGGGTCTCGTCGTCGCCGCGGTCCGAGCTCGCGGGGCGACCTTTCCTGGGGACGCGCTGGTCCGGGCACCGGCGGTCCGCCAGGCCAGAACCCACGACTGAAACATCGCGGGGCCGCGCCGAGGTCTCGGGAAGGGGGCCAGTGGTCGGCCAGGCTTCCCGGCCCGGAAAGGCAGAGGGCGCCTGGGGTGGCCGCGCTGGGCCCAGAGGAATCACTCCAGCGCCACCCGGCCAGACCTCTTTCCGCCGGGCCGCTCCGCTCGTGCGGGGAAGGCGGAGCCTCGGAAGCCCCCCCGGCACGCCCAGCGCCCAGATATTTGCATATTTCGCAGCCTCGGGCTCCGCCTGGGGAGATGCTCTGTCTGGAGACCCTGCGCGCCGGGCTGGACCAGGCTGCTCTGCAGACATTTTACCCTGTTTCCCACCCTTCCTGCGCTGGAGACCGCGAGGTGAGTAGCCCTCAGAGGATACTAAGGGCCCAGAGCGAGTTTTTGTTGTTTGTTTGTGTTTTAGTTCTCAAATGAACTGGAGGGTGTTGCTACTGTGGGCTTCGTTAGCATCGCGAAAAGCTGAGAACCACCAGATCCTACTGACTGGAAAATACAACCACCTGCTCAAAGTGCACACTGCCTGTGGCTTTTTTTTAAACTTATCAGCCATCGGCTTGTTATCTCACCCTCCACTCTGGTGATTTGTTGCCCTAAAAGATTAATATCAGAAAGCCACCATTTCCTTTAGCCTCCTGTCAAGAAACGGACACCAGTGGACAGAGAGAAGACAACTACCTTATTTAGCCTGGTTAACCTCTGTTTTCACTGAAAGACTGACACCCCACTCCTCCACTCTATAAGGGGAACTGCACCTGACGTTATTGCTGCTGAAAACTGCTGTCATAAAATTCTGGCTTACTGTTTCTAAGAATGAAATATTTCACTCTATTTTTTTAAGACTTTATTTATTTATTTGACAGAGAGAGAGCGCGCACAAGCAGGTGGTGCAGCAGGCAGAGGGAGAGTGAGAAGCAGACTCCCTGCTGAGCAGGGAGCCCTGTATGGGCTTGATCCCAGGAGCATGGGATCATGACCTGAGCCTAAGGCAGATTCTTAACCAACCACTCAGGCGTTCCTGAAACATTTCGCTTTAGCAAATACCTGTGTGTCTTCTCCAGGCCAAGCAGGCATGGGAACAAGAAATACAAATATGAATTAAATACAGTTTCTGCCATTCAGCACTTCAAAATCCAGTGAATCAGAATATACTGAAGTAATTAGGTACTGTGATTTGTGCTATACTATTGATGTGAGCAAAGTGGTTGATTCACATAATATATTTTCTAGAATATTACTATCTTTAGAATTATAACCCTATTGACTAGAGTTTTGCCTTTGTTTTTTGTGTTTTTTTTAAGATTTCTATAGAAGTGGGAACAAGTCTGTGATGTAGGTCTGTCTTGGAGCTACTCTAAAAAGTGCTGCATATAGAAGGTTGGAATTCACATCCATTCCTACCTACATCTAGTATGCCTTCATGTATAGAACAAACTGGAAAACTAAAAACACTTCCTAGACTCCATTCCAGCTAGAGCTCTAGATGTAAAATTAGGGTCTGGCAAGTAGATGAACTTGTCTGAAATTTCAAAAGCAGAGGTGAGGCACAAGCAATCTCCCTGCTATTTTTGGCTGTTTGCTATTGGCAGGGAAGGTCCAGGAGATGCCAGTCCTAGTCTTCAGAACTGTGGGTATGGGGAGAGACTGAACAGCAGCAGTGACAACCAGACTCAACATTATCATGTCATATCACCAGCTCTGTGGCTGTCAAGCAGTTGAGGGAAGTGGTGAACCTTATGTTCCTTGTCCAGGCAGCTTCCAGATCCCAGCTCCTTGGAGTCACAGCTACAGTGGTGTTCTTGAACTCCATAGTCCTTGCCAGGCCTTCAGATTGTAGCAAAAATAGTAAATATTTCAGTGGCTCATTGGTTAGTGTTCTAGATGTCATTCCTGGAGGCCCAGTCTAGAACCTGCACTTCTAGCCCTTTCAACATTCTCTAGCCTTTAAATAATTCACTTAATTCCCTATGTAAATCTTCTTCCTGTTTAAAATACCTGAAGTGGTTTCAATTTCCTATACTGACTGATTAATATGTTTGCTATGTGGCTTCTGTCACATAGCAAATCTCTTCCATTTCTTTTTTTTTTTTTTAAGGTTTTTATTTATTTATTTATTTGACAGACAGAGATCACAAGTAGGCAGAGAGGCAGGCAGAGAGAGAGGAAGGGAAGCAGGCTCCCTGCTGAGCAGAGAGCCCGATGCGGGGCTCGATCCCAGAACCCTGGGACCATGACCTGAGCTGAAGGCAGAGGCTTTAACCCACTGAGCCACCCAGGCGCCCCTCTCTCCCATTTCTTTAGATGGGAAATTAAACCATGAGATTAGATTCAGGGGCTTGCAGTGATGTGAATGCCCTCAGTTGGGCTCTACCCTCTGCAGTTGCCACTGACCCCCCGCAACACACACACATTTGAGTTTGGCCCCTGAAGGTATTTGAGTTTGTTACCCTATGACTAGGTTAACTCTGAATTCTCCTGCTCTACAAATGTAACATAAAATACTTCACTTAAAACTTCTACAGAGTATGTTCTGTAACAAAGGATTGTTGAATATCTATTTAGTATTTTCTAGCCCTGTTGTTAACTGGTAGGCCAGCGAATCTTGGTCAGCACACAAACACTAATGATAGATCACATAGTTCCTCTGAGAGAAAAGGATTTATAGCTTTTTCCACACAAAGCCTAGGAACATTATATATGGGAAAACAGAGCTACCTATATGCACTTGTGTAATGAGGGAGTGTTCTAAGTATTTTGTAGTCATGTGTCACACATGTTAAGAAGAGTACAATTATGAGAAGTTTTAAAGAGTTTTTAACAGCCTCCTAAAGTCATTGAGTGTCTCTTATCCATATAATAAAATCTCTTTACCTTTTTTAGAAATCTATTTTATTTTTCTGTAGTTTAGATTAAAAGGCTTGAATTTGGCACTCTTCCTTATCTGTGCTTTTCAGTACAGTATACATATGCTTTTTTCTCAAGGAAAATCTTATGAAAGGAAGATAAAGCATGGGGAGTACTCTATTAATACTGTATTAGGATTTTCTGTGACAGAGGCATTATCACCATTTTACAGTTGGGAAAAAACCTATCCAGACTGGCTAACTAACTTGCCCAAAATGGCCCAATTAGGAGGCAGTGACACAAGGATTTACATTCAGGGTTTTTATCTCCATCTTCCTCTGACTGCTCCACATGTTTGCAGCATTATGCTCATTATACTCTAATGTAAATGTGCATAGAATTCCCTACATGCACTTTTCCTTTTCTCTCCTCATCCAATGGTGCCCAACAGCCTTGCCCACAGATTCTATTGGCAATAAGTAAATCATGCTCAGCCCTAAGCCAACAGCTGGCATAAAGGAATGGAGGCACAGAGATTGATTTAGACCAAGCATGATTTATCCCTAGGGGTGGAGAAGGTACACACTGGCATACCTGAGTAATGGCTCTTAGTAGGTAATAGGTTGCGTTGCCACACTTGGGAGATTGAATCTTGGAAATTCTGATTTCAGTAGGTCTAGAGGTAGTATTTTAAACTTTTAATTAAATGTCTTTGTCCTTGGTAGGGAAAGGAATTAGAAAGCAGGGAAGCAAGTATTGGGTCCCTTCTTACTAAGAATAATTTTCTTGTTTTCATATCTCATTACATAGTGTTTTACTTCACAATGATTCAACCAAATCGCTGTACCAGCTAACCAAATGGAACAGCAGTTGTTTTCCTTTGATTACTTGGTCTTCCGTGGTCGGCACACCTAACACTTTCAGATAAGGTCATTCTGTTCCGGGAAACATTCTTAGTCATTTTAGTAATTAATGCAAGGAAATTTTAACTTGACCTTCACTTGACCTGAATTTCTCACTGCTGGGTAGGTATCCTTTTGGGGAATGAACATGAGATCAGAGTTGATTAGCAGAATCCAGAAACTGGAAGGTTTCTGTATGTTCCACACAGACACTATATCAGACTGCGAAACTCCACTTTCAACACAAGTGATAAACAACAAAGGTAGGAGTTTTTATTGTCATTACAGTGTACTTAATAAAGAGTCGTGGAGATGTTCTTTCAAATAAATGTATGATTATAGCACATACAGTACTCTAGCCATGTATATAAATTCTCATTAAGATTACCCCATTACGTGTTGGTCTGTCCCCAGCTCAGACAGAAAATAACAAGAATTACCAGCCTTTATCTGTGTAATGATTCCTTTACAGTAATTTAGCTGATAGCAATAAGCATATTTTACTTGACCAAGAGCCTGTGGACATTCACAAATTGAGAGTTCTTTTATTTCCTCTAGAATATTACAGAAAGCACTTTTAAACATTTGGATTACTAAAATAATCCAAAAAAGAGAAGGCTGACTTAACAGACATCTTACTATATGTGAAAGCATATTTACAAAAGTGGTTTTCAAAATGTGCTTCACTTGCCAGGAGGAATAGGGGTCAGTGGACAGGGCTCCTGCGGCTCCATCTTTATTGGTCCTATGTGTTAGATTTCAGGATAAGGTTTTATTTGATGAAAGATTTCTTTACTTAAAAAAATATTTGAGGGGCGCCTGGGTGGCTCAGTGGGTTAAAGCCTCTGCCTTCGGCTCAGGTCATGATCCCAGGGTTCTGGGATCGAGCCCCACATCGGGCTCTCTGCTCAGCAGGGAGACTGCTTCCTCCTCTCTCTCTGCCTGCCTCTCTGCCTACTTTGCGATCTCTATCTGTCAAATAAATAAATAAAATCTTTAAACAAAAATATTTGAAAACTGCTGTAGAAGATGTTAGGCACTTCTCCATCTTCTTAGAAAAACACAAAAACAAACAAACAAAAAAATACCTTAAATTGTAGCATCGGGATTGAATTACCTAAAATAAAATTGCTAGATTTTATCTCTGAAAAATATTTTTACTGAGGAAAGCTGTATCATTTTCTTTTCACTGAAAGTTTAAGAATTATATAGCTTTTAAAAATGTATTTTGAATTGCGTAAGAAAATCTTCTTATCATAAACATCCTAACAATGCAAAAATATGGAGAATAAAAATGAAATTCCCTCTAATTCCATTTCCTTCCCCAAAGGCAACTACTATTAACAGACTTTTTCCATTTATTTACATACATGTACATATACATAATCATTCATATTCTTGATCTGTTATTCTTGATCTACAATTTTCTCTCAAGTTTAGAGGAAGGATTTAGGAGACTGTTCTTTTCAAGTCCACAGCTCTATGATTTTGGTGGCATATGTCCCTAGTATTGCAACATGAAGTGCAAATTAAGCCAATATGGTTTCTAAGCATGTAGGTGAGTTCTGGAGGAAATTCTGTATACTGGGAATGTTA